AAATGAAATTCCACTTTTGCACAAAACCTTTGCTTCACTGTTTTACAGAATATCTTTTTTTTTTGGTAGCCATTTTATATATTTTCCCATTATTTTTAAATCCCACCAATGACATAGGAAGAAATGACCTTTTTAGTCTAATGGCTAAATTCTTTTATTTATGCTTGTGATTCTAAGTCCTTTTCGTGTCTTTCAAATAATTCCATTCTCACTCTTATTCTTGTAATTTTATAATTTTAATTATAATGCAAGCATATAATAGTTTATAGATAAGCAATTAGTATCAAAAGTTCTAGACATTTTATCATAATAAGTTAGTGTATATCTTGGCCTCTCTAAATTAGGTAAGCATTAGCATTTATCTTGAAATCAACTACTTCTTCAAAAAAGATAATATCAGAATAGCCCAATTAATTAAGAAGCTTGTCCTTGAGTAACTGTCACTTCTTATTATAAGAATAACTAATTAATTCCACCTAGGATTCCTGTCTTTTTTCGTGAAGTGTTTCTGACTTAATAATTTTATTATTATTTGTTTTTAATTAGTAATTTCTTTTAGTGAAATAGAGAAGGGAAAATAAATGTTATTTTAAAATATTGTGGGAAATTTTTTTTCTAGGCTTCATTCGTATAAGAGTCATAAGCATGATCAGGGCAATAAGATAATATGAGACTCATATTTAAATGAATTAAATGAAATATTCAATATAAGTCTGAATTTAGGAAGTTTAAAAGGTATAGGTAATTAAAGGAACAGAATTATTTTTATGAAAAATTACGTTCTTATGATATTGAAATAATTTATTTTCAAATAAAGCTACTAAAATTATCTTCTTTTTAACTGGTATGTCACAAATATTCATAATATTTTGTTCCCAATCTGTTCCTTTTTAAAGCCACATACTATTTTTACCCAAACTCCTATTACTATTCTTATTACCTCGTTGCTATTGGAAAAATTCCTTATTACTACTTACCTGCTGTGGTTGAAGTTGTGTTCAACTATACTTGTCTCTTTGGCTTCAGATTCTGCCAGAGGAGACTTACATTTTTTTATTCCTTTCAAGTAATCTCTTAATATTCCTCTAAGCCAACTTGTGAAAATGAGAAAGAGACCTGTAGGGAGAAACTATTTTACAAGCTCTTAGCTTTCATTGTAATCAAAGGAAAAAAGCTGGTCTAGAAATGACAATAATAGTCTTCATTCATAACATGAGATCAGAAGGAACACCATAGGTTGAGCTATTTTCTTGAGAAATGGCCTCTGATCAGATGCACAATTTACATACCGGAAGTAGTACTGAAGTATTTTTTTTAAATGCTCAGTATTATTTGTTATGCTTAGCCTATATGTTTTTACCTTTTACCATGGCATCAGATTACTTTTGATATTGTACAATGGATAATTTTGATTAAAAAACTTTCAAATGTGCATTATCACTGGAGCTGAAGGAATGAAGCAGGTGTTAAAATCATTGATGTTATTTGTTGCAAAGCAGTTGTCTGTATATAACTAACATAAGGAGTTTGTGAGTAGATTATTATAGAATAAAATATGCCATCATTAATGTATATTTATAAAATATAAATTATTCATAATTGGTAAAGGATTATTTTCACTATTTTTCTTTGAACTCACATTTCTCTAATAAACTACAATTACCCAAATGTACACATACTCAGAGACAACCAGTAGCTCTTAAAATCAGTTTTAAATTAATTTATAGATTGATTCACAGATATTGTTTCAGGTTATTAATGCATTTCTAGATATAACAACCATTTATAAAGCATAAATATGGTATGTTTTATGTCTTTTATTCATCATTAAAGCATTTTTGATAAAATTTAGAACTTAAGGATAAAAATGTTTAACATTTGTGGTTTTGAGAGATGAGATCTTTACTTGTTAATAACTATCACAAAGATTAGTAAAGGTGAGCACAATAGCTATGTAGAGAAAATAAATCTTACTACTAAATTATTTAATGAAAGGACCATTTGATTTTGATAAGTAACAAGTGAATATAATTGAATTTGTACATGTAATTCTATGTAATATATTAGGGAAGAGTTGAAACGTAGCATGAAATATGCAGGAGAGAAATTTTAAATAGTTTCAAAATGCCTATCATTATTTAATAATACATATTGCTGAGATAAAATCAATTTAAAATTTAATCTCCAAATTAAATAAAAAGCTTTGCATGCTAATATTCCTGGGTGGATAGTAATTGTTATTTCAAATTATGCATCCTCTCAAAAAAATTATATTTTAGGAAGATGTCCCATATAATGTTATGCCAAACCTCAGCATTTATTCTAACATGTTCATATTATCTATGTAATGTGTAACTACCAAAATCTCACCCAATTCGAGTGACCTGGGACCTAATACCAGATAGAGGAAGTTAGTAAAGAGATTCCAAGGTGACTTAATGGCAATTGTATTTCTAAATGTCAGAATAGCCAATGCCAGCAAGCTGTTTTTAGAACCAGATGTCCCCTTATATCTTATATGATTTTAATAGGAACCAGAAGCTGAAATTTAGGAATGTTATTGGAAAATTATTAATAATTCTTATATGGTACTCTACATAATGCTATTACTTTTATAGTATCCTCTCTTCCTATAGTTTATAATAGTTACTTTTAAAAAAGAAACACTCTGCAAATTTCAATTTTTTCTATGTTTAATTGGTCAAATATAGTTTCTTTTAGTGATTTTATGTAAATACTAGAGGCCCAGTGCATGGATTCGTGCACCAGTGGGGTCCCTCTGCCTGGCCTGCGCCCTTTCATATGCCAGGACCCCTCAGGGGATGTCAGACTGCTGGTTTCTGCCCAATCCCCTCAGGCCAGTGCATGTCATAGGTACCGGTTGAATGGTCAAATAGTCAAATGGTCACTTAGATTATATATATATAATACCATTATATATAATGGTCACTTAGATTATATATATATCATAGTGAGTATTAAAGAAAGCAGGTTGAAAATATTTCTTATGTTCTTTTTCAGAAAACCTTGAAATAAAATGTGACTACGAATAAATGCCATGAGGGAACATTAAACTCACAGTACAAATGACTGAGCAAGATGCTTGTTATGCATTTCATTCTTTCAGTGATGTAATGACCAAAAAAAATAAACTTGGGCTGATGTCTCTTTTAGGCTTTAAAAGTGTGCCTGCCACCTTCTTTGACTAAACAAAACAATGATAACTTAAATAACCTTGGCTTTTAGATTTAGATACTAGAATTTATATAAGCACATATAAAAGTCAATATATTTCTGTTTATTTTCCCCAGAAAATAGTGTGTCAGCCAGTGATCCTGTTACCATACAGTTGGAGAGTGCCAGGGATGACTCAGGAAGGTTTTTACACTGAGTGTGCCAAAGGCTAGAAAGATGAATGGATAGGGCCTGAGCACAAGAAAAGCTAGCAGGGTAATTGGATAGAAAAAGAACTCCCTCCCCTCCCTATCCCTATAGTGACAGTGGGATTGAGCAGGAAGGTGAGATAATCTTTGGAACTGGAATCCACCATTCTCCCAGGTGCAGGCACCTGAAAAATCCTCTTTTCTTTTGCACCAGATCATGTCTCAGGAGTCTGGCTTTTGCTGCCACAGACAGCTGAAACCATTTTGTTTCATTCTTTTCCATGACAACTGAGATCACAACATTAACCTAACATGTGCATGTAGGGAATTATTCTAGCCTTCTGATACAAAGATGTGTGCCATTTTTAACTTGTTATAGTACCAACAAATTAAAGATCTATTAATTGAATATTTTATAAATACTAGAGGCCCGGTGCATGAATCCATGCACAGGTTGGGTCCGGCCCGCCCACCCCATGGAGGCTGATCAGGGGTGGGGCCAGCTGGGGGGAAGGATGCTGGAGGTTGGCTGCTGGCCCCGCAGCCAATGGGGGCCCAGTGGGGGCCAGGCCAGTGGGGGGGAGGGGCCTTGGGTGGTTGGCCAGCTGATTAGTGTGGGGGGCCTAATTGGGGGCTAGGCTGGCCGGAGGGAGGGGCCGCAGGAGGTTGGGGACAATTGGGGCCCCGTTCATACCTGTTGGCCCCCACAGTGTGTGTCATAGCAACCAGTCGTTCCAGTCATTCTGTTGTTCTGGTCGGTTGGCTTTTATATATATAGATTTTATAAAATTCATTTGGTTAGTGTTTCTCTTAGAGTGTCTGTGAAGGTCAGTTAAAAAGTAAAGGGTAGTTATCACCTGGATGAAAACTGGTAGGATTATTCGAGTCATCTCTCAGGATAATGGACTAAGACAGAGTTATTAATTCCCAAAGTTGGTAAGGATTCTCTGAAAACAGAAAAGGAAATCTAGAACCAGATTATAAATTATATTTTTATTTCAGCATAATTATTAGAAGAAATGTATTTAATGATTATTTTTAAAATATTATAATTAGGTTTAAATTTTAAAGATCAGTATGTACCAACACTATCTGATAAAGACAACTATCAGAATTTCACTTAATTGCTGTTTGGTTGGCGAAGTTTAGTTTTTCCTCCTTCAACTTTGCAAATAAATCTTATTCTTTTTGAGTCAATTTATGTTTCCCAGCATAATGATGTATTTTATCTATTCAGCTATGGCTGTATTCTCTGAAGCCAGCCAGCAATGATCTCACCTCACCTACAATATAAATCTATCAGTGAATAAACAATATCATTTTTATTTCAATGCTAATGACACACTACATGTCGCTTTGGCAGTTAAATAATTTATTTCTATTTGGGTGCAACTGCCAGACTTATTATAACTCTACTTCTGATATGCATTTCATGTTTAATAGTTCTTTCCCTCATGAGGATGCTTGTCAATCAATTAAATTGAAATGTCATTCTGACCTTTTATTGGAAAAAATTTACTCTTTTTTTCATTTCATCACAAGCCTTAATTGCTAGTATTTAAAAAGTGTATACAAAACTATGTGCTCATCAGCATTACTGACACTTTCTCCTTATAGAGGTTATCCAGTTGAGTCTGCCTGAAGATCAGAAACTAAGCATTACAGCGGCAACTGTGGGACAAAGTGCTGTTCTGAGCTGTGCAATTCAGGGAGCCCTGCGACCTCCCATCATCTGGAAGAGGAACAATATTATTCTAAATAACTTAGATTTGGAAGACATCAATGTGAGTACATACATAGACATTGCTTTGTAATTTGTATATTTCATGTGACATACTCTAGACTTTGTGAAGTCTAAAGAGCTTAATGAATATTGGGTGCAGAGTAGAAGAGAATTATTGACACATTGTCATATTCATTCTACTGACCAGGAGGTGCACTGTAGATGATTGGAAATTCTCTAAATCACTTGTATAGGTGTGGTAAGCAGGCTATGGAGCACTGTAATAGGTATGAAATCACATCAACTTAATCCACAAAAGTCTTACTTTCAGAATTTCTCTAATTACCAGCAATTAATTGCTATTGTGCTGGAGCCACACTCTATGGCTTATAAAGTTTTAAAGTGGATAAACAGTAGTTTTTTGCTTCAAATACTTTATGTTTCAGAAACAATAAATATTCATCAAATAAATAAAATAAAAGACTTACTTTTCTAGAATAAAGGAATAAAGGGACACGTTTCTCCACTCTGACTCACTCCTAGAAATTCATAATGTAGATTCAGTTCAGTAGGGTATAGCTCCAAAGGTAAAAAACAAACAAACAAAACAAACAAACCCCACAAAAAACAGAATAAACTTCAGGGGTTTTTTTTTGTTTCTTTCATGCTATCTGCTGAAAGTGAACATCAAAAAGTGAACATCATCCTAGATGTTGAAAAGAAGTAAAAATTTTGTGTTAGGGGATGTCTATGGAAATGAGGTGGTACAATCCTTTGCCTTGGTGATTTTGAGGTTTTATGATCTCTTTCCATATAAATTTTAATTATTTTTTATCACTCAAGAAAGCCATTGTCTATGGCCTTATTCTTTGCTGCTTTATAAAGAACTGCTAACACAGGCCCAAGAGTCACTCCTGTTTGTTACATCTTACTAATTAATATTCTTTTTTAATGTCCTCAAATGATTCAAAAATAGGTAGCTTCCGAAATATTAATTTGTTTATTTTGATAATTTTCTTCTCAATTTACTTATATTGAAGTTCTCTGGGAACTTTCCTCAGAGAATAATGTTTAGTTCTCTAAGCTATCAAGACTATTGTGGCATAGAAAGCTATAATCTCAGGAGCATGCAATATTCTTTGAGAGGCATGGCCCTAGACAAAATCTACTTGGGTTTGTCTTTATGCCTTTTATCTTTTATTTTATATCTCTGTCATTACTATCAACCTTTCCACTATTATTTTCCAGAAGACCATGTATTTTAGGTTGCTGTGGTTTGAAAAATCTCAAAATAAGCTCATTATATTGTTTCAAAAGTAAGAAGAATGTGCTATGTGTGTTGTTCTGTGGACAACTTGCAATGATGGACCTACTCTTGTGCATGTATCTTGTAAATTAATTTGCTTACTTCCTAATTCTTGAGTATGTTCTAAATGTTTCAGATTTCTAGAAAAAATGATTATAGAAAAGTTAGGTAATTAAAATATATGTAAATATCAGATAAATTCTAGAATCAGTAAATTGATTTTTATTAGATAAAGTTATTTTGGATACATTTCATAGAGTAGATACATTTTGAGGATTTTAAAAGCACTTTCAATATTTTAAAAAGTTACAATTTTATCTCAAGCCATATTTAAGTTGAACAAAACTTAATAACCTATAGTGTACATATAACTACCAGTTTGTCACATAAAGTTGCAGAGACTAGCCAAAGATATCTTTGAAAGAAGGGATATTTATTTCATTTCCCAGTATAACCCTGGTGTTTTTTAGAAGTTCAGTACTATGACATCAACTGTCAAATTATCTAAATAAATTTAACCATTTACCAATATAGATAAACTAAAACAGTTATAAAACATTAAGTATTGTGTTTTGTTTTATATTTATTACTGCTTAAATAAGGCCTTCACTATGTAAATAACATCAGTCATAAAAGCTAGGGGTGGTCAGTGTTCAGCTTCCATGGTGTCTTCAGTGGACCAGTCCCACTGTACTGCTTGTGGCTTCTCACTCCCCAGGGCTCTCCTGGATAGTCTGTGAGCTCCCTAATATATTTATTAAATTCATTTTCTGCTTAAAACTAGCTAGAATGGGTTCCATTGTTTGACAGTAAGAATGGGTCTAATTAATTTATGGGATCTAATATGTTAAAAAACATCTATAATTACATCTCTTTAAAATGTATTTTTTGTTCTTAGAGATGGATGTCTGATGTGCTGAAAGATCAAGATGATTTTACTATAGTAAATTACATCCATACTTTGTTTATAATCAAAGAAGACTTTCTAAAAGTTCATATATGAATCATTTTTAAAACCTTTTATTATTTAATCTATTTCCACAAAAGTGGGTTTAATTCCCATTAAATTATGTAAAGTTAAAATTATAAGTGCCTTTCGTGTCAAAGGGAATCAGTAACAATTTGCAATAATCTTTCTAATTCTTTAACACATATAAGGCAGGATTTACTATATATTTACTTAGTCAATACATAAATACCTTTTTTTTAAAATAGCATAACTACTCCCAATTTTTTTTATCCACACCCATTCTTATATGTGGAAAAAGAGCCCTTTCATGAATTACAAAGATTATTTTATTTATTTAATAGAATGGATTCATATTACTACTTATTATTTCACTAGCTCATTATCTATTAGCCCTAAAAATAATTCCATGAAGCAGAGATCCTTATCCTTCATTTACTCTGTTGATATTTATGCTAAGAGAGTGAAGGCCAAGGTTGTTGACCTAATAAGTGGTGCCTCTGGGGTATTTACAGGACCTGATTGACTCTAGATCATAAACTTGATCTGTGAGATTTTTGTAAATGTATGTTGCCCTTTGGAAATTATATTCCAACTAATTTTGTCCCTATATATTACAAATAGATTTAATATTCTCTGATATTATACATGATACTGATTGGTATTCAACTGCTGTTTGGAGCTTTTTCATTTCGCCTATCTTCTCTTTTGTACCAAATGAATAAAAGGACATCACTTAACTATTAGAGAGAATATGACACAGTGGTTTGCAGGAAGGGCTGGGGTTACAGACTGTCTGGATTTCAATTAATACCCAGTCTCTTGGGAGTTACGTACCCTCAAGCAAGTTAAGTTGCCTAGGCTCTCACTTCCTAAGCAAAAATTGAAGAAAGAATAGAATAAACTCATTTTGTGTGTGTGTGAGAGAGAGAGAACTATTGAGATAAGCATTTTTAAGCTGGTTACACACTATAAGGCTGTTTGTATATGTTCAATGAAACTGGGTTCTCTGTTTTTTCTCCTTCTCCTCCTTTCCCTCGTCTTTCTCTTCCTCCTCTCTCTTCTTCTTCCTTCTTTTTCTCGTAATATATGTTTCAGGGAACAAAGATGTATTCAATCTGCCTAAAACAATAGAAATTCAATGTTAGGATACATATAGTAATAAGGAAGTTTGGAAACACAAGAAATGCCAGAACCAAATTTTATCCAATTATAGTGACTAAAACTGGAAGACCTTTATCTATTCAATCTAGCTTTAGGAATCATGCTAATTTATCTCTCTATTAGCAATCTGGTATTAATCACTGCTCCAAAGATCATTAAATTCAATCAGCTAGTATAACTTCATCTATTTGTATGCGTGTCATCCTCTTTCTGCCCAAACTCCTGAAAAAGGTAATTGGCTTATTTTGATCATCTTGTTTTAGGTGGAAGGTGGCACACAAACTATAATTCTAATATTATTGTGACTGAGTCTTAGTCCTAATCCTGGTCTGTTCAGCTATAAACACGGGTTTGCAGGTGAAGAGCTATGAGATATACTAGTAGAAGATGGCTCTCCTATTAACCTTACTTCTTTGCAGCTGGTTCCTGGGCTCAGAGTCCCCTTTGTTAGGGGAGCTGAATTAAGGAAGGCAAGGCAAACGTAGACACATGGTATAGATTTGAGGGAAACATCATTAGAAGATAGAATTGGCTGACGGGATTGGCAGCGAAGAGTAAAGGAATGAGAGGAAATAAAATGCAGCACCATTTCAGATGTGCTCACTTTACCAAGAAAATTTTCAGTAAAACCTTGGATAGCAGAGATTTTTATTTCCTTTGTTCCTGAGAGAAATTATGTTTTAAAATCCAAGCCATTATTGTGTGTATCTTATTTATAATATCTCTAATTTTTTACCATTCATTATAATCTGGTCTTTATTTAACATTGAAATTAAATAATGTCATATCAACCTAGATTTCCATTCTAGTTGTATAACTTACTAGCTATGTAACACAATGAATTGACTGAAACGATTTAAGCTTCAGTTGATTTGTCTATAAAAGGAGAGATTATTATTAAATCCAATGACACATACCAAGTGTTCAATAAAATGTTATTTATTTTATCACTATCTATAGCTTGATTCAATATGGCATTGCTGATCGTGTTTAATAACAAATGTGAAGCCCCATGAGGATATTATTTCTTTGAAAATAACCTGATATACTATATATTATTATGAACTTTCAACAACTTTACAGGTGAACTTGCTAGATAAAATACAGAATTCTCAGGTAATTTTGAATTTCAGATATACAATAAATAATTTTTCATTATAGGTATGAACCAAATGTTTCAGAGGATATACTTATACAAAAGTTATCCTTGTCTTCTGAAATTCAACTTTGCCATATTTTATTTGCTAAGTCTGGCACTATATTTACCTGAAATTGGTTTGAATACTGCGTTAAGCCATTTTCCTATAAGTGATTCTGTGGTGTATATCACTGAGATTAAAAGTTTGACTTATTCACATGAATTTAATCCATTCCTTTGCAGATTCCTGTTGTTTTTCCTCACTCTTGGTATTTGTTTTGTGACTTGTTTTCTACATCTATCTATCCTATGTTAGCAGTTGTGTCTAGCACTGAGTAGAAGAGACTGGGAAAAAATAGTGAACTAAATCCACAGGAGTTTATTTTTCCATAAAATATATTGTCCACAGCTGGCATGACTGCTCCAGAAAGCAGCTAGAACTCAAACTCCTATCTTCTTCTGGCATTCCAAGAGCATGGCTTTCAT